GCTCGAACTAGGGAGAACGTCTTCTGTTCAATAAGTGTTTCGAGATCGACGTCGTCAATGGCCGGCAAGGTGAGGTCGAGAAGGTCGCGGGTCAGGGGAGAAATGGACGTGAAGTAGCGGTGGAAGAAGATGGTGTGGAGTATGGCTGTCGCGTCGGGTTAGACAATTATTGTTCATGGCAAGTTCGGGCAGAGTGGAGGGCATGGTGGGGGTGGGGAGTTGCAGGATTCTGGAGCGAGAGCCCGAGAAGAAGACGAAGGCGCAAACGTACCCTTGACGACGTCCTTGACGCAGGCCGCGTCGGCAAAGATCTCGAGGTTGTACTCTGGTCGCCGCCGTGGTTCCATGCTGGCATCTGCGTGCGGCAATCCAGGAGGTTGGCCAGAAAACCCCGCGATGCGCCGCGTGGCGCTGACAACGCTCGTGGCCCGGCGAATTGGCTGCAGACGGGCGCGGGCGTCGTGGGCGCGGGCGCAGAGAGCGGGCGCAGAGAGCGGGTGCAGGCGGCGGGCAGTGGGCAGGGCAGCAGAGCGCAGAGCGTGGTGTTGTGGATGGGGAATGCTTGGACTGCCGAAGCTGAGATTTGGCTCGAGTGTGGCGGCGGGCTGCGGGGGCTGTTCGCGGGTCGTTGGAGCGGACGAAGGCCCGACACACACAGCTAAAAGGAAATTGACCAGGCCCGCCAGGCATGCAGGTGAGATCATCAAACAAAGGTGCTCCTCCAGCCTCGCTCCTGTTGGTCCGTCGACGCCTACCATGCCTTGCTGCTCAGAGCCCTGTCGCTATTTATGAGTCGTCTCAGCCTCTCTGTGACATGACGTCCTCCGAGACACGCTGCACCTGATACAACCAGTTCTTCGACATCATCTGCCTGGACTTGTGAATCACAGCGTTCACGCGTCTGACTCCTGGACCACGGTCGTTTGCAAGACGGCGTGACATGGCCATGGAGGCAGCAGTCAGTCGCTTACCTCCGGCCCGTCACCATCCATGTGGCCACTGTGGTTTACTAGCGTCCTCTTACTCGGACAATTGACATAATCGTGCATTCACGGTATGTAATAAGGCTGTACGCTATCTGGTGTTTTGCATATTGCATACAGCCTGGACCACCCGTTTGCCCGGTGGAGACGGCGAGGCGAGACCTGGACGAGGCCTGGACGAGCCAGATGGGGCCTGGCTATGCGATGGGAATTCTGGAGCAGTGCAACAGCATACCTATATAGTATGTACAGCACACTCTGGTAGAATCTAGGTTGCCTACTAAGCATGCCTCCGAAGGGCCGAGTGCAACCGTCGAGGAACCGACACTACATCGACAGTGCAGTGCTTGACTGGTCACGCTAAGTCAAGGCACTGGGGTATGCATAATGTCTAGCATTCAATACGAGAATAGAGTTTTGGAATTGTCAAATCGTGACCATGTGAAAGCTGTGTCATAGACAAAGGGCATTTGAATATTTGAAAGGACATTTGAGATGTAAAGAGTGAACATTGAAACGGACCAAGATCCATAAGCTAACCAGAACAAGTAACCACCGTGTCCGCCGCGGTCACGTGCTGAGGCTACTTCGTCGCGAGAAGACGCGTCTCCTCATCGCGCACTCCAACAACCACCCCGACTACGACATGGTCGGCACAAAACGCAGACGCGACGATGACGAATACGCCACATTCGAAGACTCACCCAATAAACTACGTGCTCAGGACGCAGAGGATGGAGCAGAAAATGATGAACCCCTGGATGCACAAACACCATCGCGCAAAGGAAGGCACACGCTGCTTGCGGAAAACGGCACACCAAGGTCGATTTTAAAGAAACCGGGCCTTATCAACGGAATCAATGGCACTCCCAAATCCACCCGAAAGCTCCTCTTCGAAACTCCATCCAAGTCTGTCGCAGCAGACACGCCGAACGGTACCCCAACCATCGTCCGCAATGCCGACCGAAGTGCACGACGAAAGAGCAACAGGCGCATGATTGAGCGCACATTGAATGGCGAAGACAGTGAAGAAGATGCATTGGAGGATGAGGACTTCTTAGCAGAGCAGATTCTGGACGACGAGCAGACAGTCGAGGTTGCAGAGGCCCCAGAGGTACAAGAGGAAGTTCAGGAGGTCGAGCAACTTCCAGTGCCTAAGACCCCATCGAAAAGGCCAAGAGGTAGACCAAAGGGATCAGGAAAAGGTCCAAAGGAAAAGCCAAAAAGCACAAGGCCAGTTGGGCGACCGCGGAAGGTACGAGAACCGTCACCGCCAATAACGACAGAGCTGCCACCGCACGAAGAATTCTTCTGGCAGAATCGTCCAGGCGGCACGAAGACTTCAAACAATACGTTACCAGGTCAGACCTTGCTTAACCACGATGAGTACTTTCAGGCGATACAGTCATATCAGGATCCCCACCAACCTGAAATGGACTTTCTCCTGGAGCTACACAGCCGTGCATATGATCAGTGGATTTTTGAGCTCAACGAAGGATTCAACATCTGCTTGTACGGATACGGCTCCAAACGCACCATCACCGAACGATTTACTGAACGCCTGTACAATCATCTGCAACAAACGGCTCCCTACAAAGGCACCAAGAAGAGTCCAAAGATAGCAGTCATCAACGGCTACGCTACTGGGGTTGGAATCAAGGATATCCTTACCACCATAGCATCCACCACTGTACCGTCCGGTGTGAGAATGCCGAATCAACCTAGTATTCTTCTCGACTTTCTACTTGACTACCTCACCAAGAATCCACCACTACATTCAATCCCAGTCATATTGAATACAATTGACTCGCCATACCTTCGAAAAGCCCCGACCCCGTCAATGCTTGCGAGATTGGCTGCACATTCATCCATCAACATTATATGCACAGCAGACACGCCGAATTTCCCACTTCTTTGGGATGTCGGGTTGAAGACCCAGTACAATTTCTTGTTCCACGATGCAACCACATTCGCGCCCTATGACGCTGAGATAGATACAGTAGAGACTGTAAACGAGCTCCTCGGAAGAAGTGGCAGACGCATCGGAGGCCGAGACGGTGTAGGCTTCGTCTTGCGGTCGCTCCCGGAGAACGCTCGGTCTCTATTTCGCATTCTCGTCGAAGAACAGCTGGCTCTGTCTCTTATGGAAGAAGGAGGGTTTGGAGATGAGAACGAGGAACTACCGAATTCGAGGAAGGCCTCTCAACAACAGTCCTTCAATTCAGACTCTGGTCAAGGCGTGGAATACCGTGTGTTATACCACAAAGCTGTGGAGGCATTCGTTTGTTCCAGTGAAGTCGGATTCAGAACGTTGTTGAAGGAATTCCATGATCATCAAATGATAGAGAGCAAGAAAGATGCCATGGGTACAGAACGCCTATGGATTCCCTTTCGACAGGAGGAGCTAGAAGGTCTGGCGGAAGATCTAGTTGGAGAAGCATGATGATTGGCTATATACCCACGCGAATTAAACCCTATCTTTACTTCCACCTACTTTCTCATGCAAGGTGATGGTCTCTGAGCTCCAGAGAGTTCCAGCGAGAAAGCATTCCTGAACGTGTACGCGATAGGCGCGCGAATAGTCAGCAATATGAAGTAGCCAGAGGCACCTCAGATGGATCTCAACAATATTACCCAGTATCAATGTCCATTAGTTTTGGATGATCGATCCTGTTTCACCAAATCTCTACCATGCATTTCTCTGATATCGCTCTCTTCTTACTCCCACTGCTCGATGGCGTCTCAGCCTCGGACCACGAAGACCAAGCCTCCATCACATCAATCACATCTGTTCCATCATCCACCTACCACATCGAGTGCTCTGGTGAATCCAGCAAGTACGTTTCTCCTTAAACACTTCCCCACCACACCTCAGACTAATTAGAGCCACGACAGAAAATGGCGGTCCTGCTCGTCCTCCATCGACTCAGCCATCTCCAAGTGCGGCGACGAGGACATCAAATGTGGCTGCGAAAACGCAAGCAAGGGACTCTCGTGCGTTGCCACACCCTCTTTCTCCCTTTCTCCCTTATTACCGCATCAGGCCATTGCATCTCACTTCCCTCAAGTTTCCTTCTCGATCCCGATCCAACACGTATTCCGCATCCCGATCCCGATCTCAATTCCAAGGTCTCAAGCACACACTGACACCCCCTCGTCCACAGCTGCCTCGCCTCCCTCTGCCCATCCCACGTCCCCGAGATCTGCTACACGTCCTACCGCCTAGATGAGTACTGCTACCTCGTTGGCGTCTCCGTACCCAGCATATCACAGCCACATACATGTCCGAGCGAGGACAGCGGCAACGGGAACCAGCGTGTCGCGCTAAACAGTATCTTACCTACCGCAACGACCACGACCACGACGGGCGATAGCACCGTGTCTGAGACGCAGGCACGGGAGAGTGGAACGGGTAACGTGCTACAGACTCAGAGTCAGAGTCAGAGTGGGAGGAGCACGGCGGTGGGCAGCGTGCCGAGTCAGAACGGGGCTGGGAATGGGACGAGTAGGGCTGTGGGAGGGGGCCAGGGGAGTGTGGGGTTGAGTTTGTTTCTGGGGGCTGGGGTGGTGATTAGTGTTACTGTTGGGGGGTTGGCTGCGTTTCTGTGAGGGGATATTTAGGGGTGAGGTTGATAGGTTTGGTTTGGTTTGGTTTTGGCTTGGTTAAATTTAGCTTGGGATGGAAGATTGATGCTAGAATGTTTTATTACGTGCCACAAGTGCGCTTGAAATTGAATATATTTCCCCCTGTAGTCATGTGTAGTCGAGTTACGTGCACGAAAAAGCGTAGTGTCTGTCTCGTGTGATGCGTGGTGGTCGATGCTGACAAGGTAAGTCCCCACATAGCCACCCCCACTTGCCGGTTGAAAATTCTGTATCCCGGCCCCACAATCATCCGCACACCTTCTGCGACCGTTGTGAAGGAAGCTTTCACTCTCGGCAGCCTATCCAGATAAAACTTTTCATGCGCGGATATATATCAAAAACCAGATCAATCTTTCATCAAACAAACGACCAGGTCGATTAGCTCAGTTGGTTAGAGCGTGGTGCTAATAGCTTCTGCTAGTCAACGCCAAGGTCGCGGGTTCGACCCCCGTATTGACCATTCTCTTTTTTTGCTTTTTTTTTTGCACCTCTGATGGCGGTTAGCGGTTACTGGTATCTGAGCTAGCATTATTATTGTGATAGAATAGAGTTCTGTATACACTGTCAGTATCTATTAAACGGACGTGAGAGCAGCCTTGGTAAAGGATAAGAGAAGATCTATCATCTGTTCTATCAAGGAGAGTAAACCTAGCACTTTGATGATAATTTAATCTGTTTTGGCAGATGAACGAAGGTCCTTTACACTCTTGAATTCTTCGCCTATGTGTTCATGTTTCCTAGTTGATACGCTGAGCTCTATTCTCTGCAGCAAGAATTTATACTATTTAGACAGCTCTTGAAAATCATACAGCTTACATGGGTTATTGACCCACATATCCTGCCACTCAGTCTCGCTCATCCAGGAACTCAAAGACTGAATCCAAGACTTATTATCGATCTTAAGAAACGGCTCAACCCCGCCGGCTTTCCTCAAGGCTCTGTCTTCATGACGTTGGGTATGCGGCCAGTCGCTACCCCAGACCACGCGCTTTGAATTTGCTGCAACAAGCTGTCTAACAACTTCTGCAAGGTCTGAATAATCCGGATCTGCCCGCGAGCATCTGTAAGGGGCGGATATCTTGATCCACAAATGTCCATCGCCGAGTGCAGCCAGGAGATCTTGCCAGCCTTCTGTCGCAATACCTGGAACTGAGTTTGGTGGTACCGCGCTGGCGGCTTTTACAAGTGCCATATGATCGACGACAAGTGGCACCCCTAAATTTGCAGCGACAACTCGAAGTCTCTTCCAGAACACCAAATTAGGTTGTTGTATCTGAATACTCCAGCCGTGTCCAGTAGGGTGCCAGGCAAGTAGGCGTTTGGCAGTTGCTTCGATGAGCTCAATCTGCTTGTCGAGATCGTTCATCGCTTGTGCCCTGAAAAAGTCCAACCGGACGCTTCGAATACCCGCTTCATGATACTCATCGAGAACAGCGTCTGAGACGCTGGTCTCATCTAAAACACAGATGCCACGAGATTGTCCATTGAAATGGCCTAGATAATACAATAGAGATGCGCAGTCTGCTCCATAGGATAAGCCATGAGCAATGCAAACGTGCCCAACTCCTATAGACTTTTCGAAATCCTGGAGCTGTTCCAATGTAGCAACTGATGGAGTAAAGTGTCGCCCGGGCGCGAAAGGGAAGCGTTCAGGCTCGAAGATGTGGTGATGCGTATCCCACGCGCCACTTGGCACGGACTTGACAGGATGTACAGTTGATTGCATGTTCAATTATTTTACAAATTTCGACTGTCTCCCCGAGTCCGCTTCTCGCAGTTATCAAATATCGTACATCAAGAGCATGAGGTGCAATGGCAGTCACGCCGGGCTCGGGCCGCAAGCGTTCGCTTGATTAAGGGTACGGCATTAGCCCGCCCGCGATCATTCTCGGTTTATGGCCAAAGGCAATTCTGGATTCATTCATGGCGAAACTCCGGAGCAACGCTGCACCAGATCCCCAATAGTGTCAACATTTCAGTTGGTCGCACTCGAGCCATGAGAGTTTGCGGGCGCTTCCTTAGCCACTCGAATTTCAGGCAATCTCCGCATTCCCCGCAATTGCGCTCCACGATCTTGAACAAGTGTTCTCGGGGAATGGCCTAGGGCTGTAAATGAGACGGGTGTCTACGCATTCGGGACCATGGCATGACCGCTGTCATTTGTCTTGATAAGACAGTCCTCGTTCCTGCACCCTTTCCATGCACCTTATCACCTGTGTGAGCTCTAACGGATAGCATATCATCATGCCTCTAGTAGACAAGAACATTAAGGCCCAAACACCTAAGGAGGTGGTCTCAGTCAAAATCATAATATATTGCGTTCTGCTCTCCTTCTCTGGCGCACTTCATGGCAAGTCCCTCTAACTTTACCATGTGCCCTGCTAACCTCAACATCAGGCTATAACACCGCCAATATCTCTGGAGTCCTCGCAATGAGTTCCTTCAAGAAACACTATGGATTGTCAACCATGTCAAAGAGCGCTTTGGCTGATTGGCAAGGATGGATCACTTCCATATTGATTCTCGGATCATTCGGTGGAGCATTGATCTCAGCACCTTTCACTGATCGATTGGGACGGAAAATATCCCTAGGAATTTGGACTGCAATATTCGCTCTGTCTGCCATTCTCATGGCCGTGAACCCTGGGGGTAGTAGCGGCAGAGTTCAATTTCTGGTTGGCCGCTTTTTATCTGGGTTTGGATCAGGGGCTGCCAGCGTTGTTGGCACAGGGTACATCGCCGAGATTGCCCCTAAAGCCATTCGAGGTGGCTTGACCGCGACGTACAACGCAAACACCATGCTTTCCGTGGGCCTGGCTTATTGGATCAATTTTGGATCATTGGAGCATATCGAAGCATCTAGGAACGCACAATGGCAGATGCCTATGGGTGTCCAAGCGCTCCCAGGCGTCATCCTCCTAGTTGGTCTCTTCTTCATTCCCGAGTCACCCAGGTGGCTCATGAGTCGAGGAAGGCTAGAGGAGGCTCAACAATTGCTGGAGATTCTTCGTGGTTTACCTGTAGACCATGATTTCGTCCGTCGGGAATACGAAGACATCAAGAGTGGCGTTGAACAAGAGAATGCCGTACATGCTGGCCTAAAGGGAGTCCTGTCAGAGATCATGACCAAGAGCATACGGAAACGCCTACTCATGGTCATGATCATTCAGGTCGGTTTCCAATTTTCTGGTGGTAATATCTGTTGGGATCTAGACTCAGCCACCTCGTGCCTAAGGGTCTTTGATAGACATAGGGTTACGAAAGGATATCAAAAAGCTATAGATAGTACAGAAAGGAGTATAGATATCCTACAGCAAGTCTTTGTTCCTGCATAGATATATATAGAGGCAGGAACACAGGCTGAATAGAATTATCTCATCAGTTCAACAATATCATTACTTATTACAATACTTGTGAGTAATCAATTTCGTCTCGGAAAGAGCGTTCACTGATCAATATATAGCCATCCTGACTTCGATCGGACTGACCCATCCCACCACAAACTTTCTTTTCTCAGGAATCTACGGCTGCGTAAAGTTTGTCGCCGTAGTTGTGTACTGCCTCTACTTCATCGACAGATTCGGACGCCGCGCAGGATTGTTCGGGGGTACTGTCCTCATCATCGGGTCTTTAATTTATTTAACCGTGTATCTTGCCGTTGCTCACCCCTCAGCCAATTCAACCACCGGGGCCGCAGGGTGGATTGCAGTTGTGTCCATTTACATCTTCGCTCTTGGATACGCGGTGTCCTGGGGAACCATTCCATGGATTATCAACGCCGAGGTCTTCCCACAAAAAGTTCGATCGACCTGCATGTCATTCTGCATTGCCTGGCAATACCTAGTCAACTTCGCATTAAGCAGGGCTCAGCCAAATATGGCCATCGCCATGCACTCGTGGGGCCCATTCTTGCTCTTCGCTTGTGCCACTACGGTAGCAGCCATCTATGCGTATTTCGCCTACCCTGAGACCAAGGGAGTATCTATGGAACACATGGAAGAGTTATTTGCAATGTCGTGGTACAAGATTGGCAGAGCTAGCTTGGGTATTTCCAATGCCCAAAACACTGCGCAAGCTCGGGATGTCGAGGATAAGCTCGTTGAAGCGGATCTGGAGAACAAGGACGCCTCTGTTAGGAAGGAGAATGTGTAGATGATCAGATCTTCTCAGAAAGCTGTTGGGACGCCGGTGCGATTATACCTCAAAAGAAGAACTAAAGGGACATGTAAATTTACTACATGGGCGTAAACATCAAGTTGACGCCGAGTAATAGTAGTTTTTAGGCATTGTGTAGTTTTATATCTGCTGTTGCGATCAACGTAATCCAAAGTGTTCTACTGTCCATCTGCAGAGGGATGATGCTCAGTACTACTGCGTCTGCCCGAAATATTATTTAGGTTTGAACCGCAGTGTAGAGTAGATAGATCGATACTGAAATCAAAATATACTTAGTATCCTATATTCTGCTCCTACATATTGGTGTTCATGTCAAGGTAGTAACTTGAATGTTTGTTGTACTGCATTTATTCTATGCGTAACTCCTACTACTACAGAAGTAAATCTATACAAAAAGAGAAGCAAAGTAGTTACACGTATGATGGCCTAAAGACTGAGTGGTGTCTCGCTTAGTTTGAGTGGTTCGACACCGAACTCCTCTTGTAATTGTACAAACATCGCACGTTCCGCTTCTGCATATGGCACGCCCTCTTTGTTCCTCTTGACGCTCAGGAGGTATTCTGGTTCTCCCGGAAACAGTACTTTGGTGAATCCCTCGGCCGGCTTGACGCCGTGCACACGTTGCACCAATACGTCCATACGCTTACGGAATTCTGCGGCGTCAACGAATGTGCCTGGCTTGATGGCGATGAATGTATGGCCGACGTTCTGTGGGCGGGTTTCCTTATATTGGTCACCGACCTCACCACCAAATGCAGCACCTCCAAGTACTCCAGACATGATATCCATGAGAATAGCAATTCCAGATCCCTTGGGTCCACCAATCGGGGCCATGCTTCCACTTAAAGCAGCCTCGGCATCAGTGGTTGGCTTGCCGTCCTTGTCGTAGGCCCAGCCTAATGGAATCGACTCGCCGCGGCGGGCTGCCTTTCGGATTTTACCCTTTGCTACGACTGAAGGGGCCATGTCAAGGATGAATGGAACCTCATTTTCGCTCGGTGCTCCCGCAGCGAACGGCGAGATGCCGAGCAGAGTCTCGACACCGCCGAATGGGGGCATCTGTTTGGCGGAGTTGGTGAAAACCAAGGAAATCATGCCCTTATCCAGGGCTTGTTGCAAATACGTAGCGGCCATTCCAAAATGATTGGAGTGATTCACAGTGACTATGCCGATTCCGTATGTCTCGGCTCGACGAATGGCATCATCCATGGCTTTGGATGCTACTACGAAACCAAAAGCATTCTGGCCATCAAGATGAGCGGCGACGGGAGTCTTTTCTACGAC